TGGTACTGGCACAAAAGCAGATACACAGATCAATAAAACAAAATAGAGCTCCTGGAAATAAACCCATGATTATATGGTTAATTAATCTATAACAAAGGACACAAGAATATGTACTGGGAAAAAGATCGTCTCTTCAACAAATAGTGTTGGGAAAACTGAACAGCAACATGCAAAAGAATGAAACTGAACCACCTTCTTACACCATACATAAAAATAAACTCAAAATGGATTAAAGAATTAAATATGAGACTAGAAGCCATAAACATCCGAGAAGAGAGCACAGGCAGTAATTTCTTTGACATTAGCTATAGCAACATTTTTCTAGCTATGTCTTCTGAAGCAAAAGAAACAAAAGCAAAATAAAACATAAGGACAACATCAAATTAAAAAGGTTCTAAAGAAATTAAAAAATAAGCAATGCCTGGGTGGCTCAGTGGCTGAGTGTCTGCGTTTGATTCAGGTCATGATCCCGGAGTCCCAGGATCAAGTCATAACATTGGATTCCCCACAGGGAGCCTCCTTCTCCCGCTGGCTGTGTTTCTACCTCTTTCTCTGTATCTCTCATGAATATATAAAATTAAAATCCTTAAAAAAAAGAAGAAGAAATTAAAAAATAAGCTTCTGCACAGTGAAGGAAACAACAAAACAAAAAGACAATTTATTGAATGGAAAAAGATATTTGCAAATGACATATCCAATCAAGGGTTAGTATCCAAAATATATAAAGAACTTATTTATAACTCAACACTAAAAAAAAAATAATCCAACTAAAAATGGGCAGAAGACATGAACACTTTTTCAAAGAAGACAGACCGGTGGCCAACCAACAGATGAAAAGATGCTTGACATCACTAATCATCAGAGAAATGCAAATCATCTCATCTGTCAGAATAGCTAAAATAAAAAACACAAGAAACAACAGGTGTTGGCGAGGATGTGTGCACTGCTGGTGGAAATACAAAGTGGTATGACCACTGTAAAAAACCGTATGGAGATTCTTAAAAATAGGGGGCTCCCTGGGTGGCTCAGCGGTTTAGCACCGGCCTTCAGCCCAGGGCGTGATCCTGGAGACCCGGGATTGAGTCTCACATCGGGCTCCCGCATGGAGTCTGCTTCTCCCTCTGCCTGTGTCTCTGCCTCTCTCTCTCTCTCTCTCTCACACACATTGGGCTCCCGCATGGAGTCCACTTCTCCCTCTGCCTGTGTCTCTGCCTCTCTCTCTCTCTCTCTCTCTCTGTCTCTCATGAATAAATAAAATAAAATCTTTAAAAAAAATTAAAAACAGAATTACCATATGACCCAGTAATTCCACTACTGGGTATTTACCCCCAAAATACAAAAATAATTCAAAAAGCCATATGCACCCCTTTGTTTATTGCAACATTATTTACAATAGCCAAAATATGGAAGCAATCTGTGTCCATTGGTAGATGAATAAAGAAGATGTGGTGTGTGTATATATGTACATGTATAATTCAGTCATCAAAAAGAAGGAAATCAAATGTAGAATTTAAGAAAAGAAACAAGCAAACAAAGAAAAAAGAGACAAAAAAACGGACTCAACTATAGAGAACAAACTGGTGGTTACCAGAGGGGAGGTTGTTACAGTTATGGGTGAAACAGGTGGAGAGGATTAAGAGTTCTCTTCTTGTAGTGAGCACTCAGTAATGGACAGAATTGCTGAATCACTATATCATATACCTGAAACTAATGTAAAACTATATGTTAATTATACTGGAATTAAAATAAATAAATAAAATTTTAAATATATACATAAATAAAACGAAGAAAACCTGTAGGGGCAAAAGCCTGGATCCAGAGCCCACCAATGTTTCTAAATGCATCTCCAAATATAAACATGCTAGAGTCTTCAGTGTCTCACTGTAAAAACTCAGCATCACTTGAATATACATTTTTTGTTGAAATAATAATAAATGAAAATATAAACTGTTGTATACTGATAAAGATAAAATTAGGACACACTGCAAAAATCTAATACTGTCAATATCACTGAATTTTACTATAAGCTTCCAGAAAGACTTCCAATAAAAGAGCAGAAAGAATACAAGAAATTACAAGAACAAGACCGTTAGGAGGAGCACTGTCAGGATAGGCGGGAAATTGCTCACTCATTCCATAGCAATATTCTAAACTAAAATACTTTGATACATCTGATTGTGAAAAACAAAGTAGGAAAGTACAATAAATGATTTGGAAGGAGGTAGTTTCCAATTTTAGATATGGGACCCAAGGAAGGACCTTTGAGAAGGTGACATCTGAGTAAACACCCAGAGAAGGCTAAGAAAAGTGCAACCATGCAGACATGGTGAGGTGTAGGATACAATACTGCAGCACAGGCAGTGGCAAGAACCCAGGCCCCAAGGGGAAAGTGGCCTGGAACCTGAGGATCAGAGTGGAGCTAGGGTGGCTAAGATGGACCTGGGGAAGGAGAAGGGTGTGGGAGATAAGATCCCAGAGCTCAGGAGGGGTTTGTGTATGAAGTGAGCAGATACTGGGGCACATGGAGCCCAAAAGTGGTATGACAACTTCTAAATTCATAGCTTTGCTTCTTCAGTCATCTTGGAAGAGACAAGAGAGCAAGGAAAAAAGCAAGGAGATGATTTAAGAAACTACTGTAACAATCCAGAAGACAGATAATGATTACCTGGAAGTTTGCTGACAGAGAGGTGGCAAGAGTGCTGGAACCTGTGTGCATTTGGAAGTGGAGCCAACAGGAGGTTCCCACAGGCAGAAGGGAGATTATGAGAAAGAGTTGTTGAGGACATGTAGAGAACTGCAAGAAGGTGGTTTCCACTTCCTAAGAAGGGGAAGAGTGGAGAAAAGGAGGGAGGGTCAGGAACTTGATCCTGCCATGCTCTCAGCACCCACACAGAGCCATGGCCGAGGCAGTAAGAAATGGTGCTCTGGTGATGGAGAGTTTGTGAAGTGATCAGTGTACAGCTGACATTTAAAGCTACAAGATGAAGTGAAAGCACCAGGGGGGTGAGGTGGACAGGACAGAGAAGCGTTTTGTACTGGCCCAGCAGCACTTTAGCAGTGAGAAGCCAGAAAGGCATGAGGAGGAACACAGAGGAGGCAGGGAAACAAAGTAGGAGTGAGCACTGCCCTGCAGGGAGACATGATGGCCACACAAGTGACCATGGGAGAAGCAGTGTGGGTGTCACTGCCAACGCCACAGGTCTGGGAGTGCTAGGCTGGAAGCCTGAACAAACAGGCTAAGTAGTGAATGGGGCGGCAACATGGCCCTTGTGGGAAGACGAAGTACAGTCAAGACAAATTAAAAAAACATTTTTAACATGGTAGAAAAATAATGGCATGATTTTAGGATGATGAAAAAATTCAGAACAAATTAATGGCATTGTATTGTTCTTTTTTAAGATTTTACTTATTTGAGAGAGAAAGAGCCAAAGCACAAGCCATGCGGGAGAGGCGGAGGGAGATGCAGACTTCCTTCCCACTGAGCAGGGAGCCCGATCGTGGGCTTGATCCCAGGACCTGAGCCCAAGGCAGACACTTAACTGACTGAGCACCCAGGCGCTCCATTGGCACTGTATTCTTGAGTAAGCTACACAGACTGATGGTTGGTCATTACAACATTATTCATAATATCCTAAAACTGAAGATGCCTAACTAACAGATGGATTAATTGCATAAATTAATACAATGGAATTCTTTATAGCAATAAAAATGAACAAACTGCTAAAATGTAACAAAAGTGATGAATCTCACAAGTATAAAATTAAGTGAGAAGAGTCAGGCAAAAGAGAATACATATTGTATGATTACTGTATGGTTCTATTTATATGAAATTCTCAAACATTGTATGGTAAGTCAGGATCATAGTCACTGGTGTGGAAGGGAGAGGAAGTAAACGAGAAAGGGGTTGGGGTGGCCTCAGGTATGCACTGCATTCTATTTCTTTGATTGTATGGAAATTACCTAGTCCCTCTGTGATTATTTGTAGAAATATATACTTAAAATTTTATGTATGATCCTGTATATATCTTATACTAGTCAATAAAAGATATATTTAAAAAAATAAAATAAAATGCAGGTTACCCTATGATATCTGTAGCCTATCAGTGGAAGAATTTAAGTAAAGAGTGAGAATTACTCACTGTGGACACAGCAAAAAATGATTCCTTCTTTGGGAGGGATGTTTAACTTCTAAAACCTGTAAGTCAACTTCAAAACTAAGAATTTGACAGATGAATGAAACTTCTAAAAATCTGCCAACAACATCAACAATTAGTGCTTAATATAAGGCGGTTCAAACATTCCCTCAAAAATAGTAAGATTCTTCTTTTTGTAGTAAAAAAATAACACCCTATGGAGAAGAAAGCAAACATACATCCTTAAAAATAATTTCTGATCCATTAATGACCATTTGTGCTCCTAAAGATCAAACTTTCCTATGTCTTACTTTATGCTTTTCATCCTTCTCTAAGTAATTAGCAAAGAAATATTAAATTAATGTGCATTATCATTTTGTCACATAATGCCTCTACCAAAATTTTATTTCTAAGAAAGAAAAAAACAAAAACAGCCAGATTTACAATTCGTCACTTAGACAGGAATTTTTTTTTTTTTTAAGATTTTATCTATTTATTCGCAAGAGACACACAGAGAGAGGCAGAGACACAGGCAGGGGGAGAAGCTCCCTGTGGGGAGCCTGATGAGGGACCTGAGCCGAAGGCAGAAGCTTAACCACTGAGCCACCCAGGAATCCCTAGACAGGAATCTTGATATGGTTGTTTCACCCTCACCCCTCACCCTCAAATTATAAAAAATTTACTGCCAAAAGTAAAAACAAGCATTCAAATACAGTTTGGTGCTTCTGTTACATAAATCTATGTCAAATCTTGGCTTCCTTCTCCTGGCATTTCTCCATAATAAAGTGACAAAAATGTTCATCATAAGAATATTTTTTGAGACAAACTCACAGTTAGTGGCTGCTGGAATCAGTTCTTTATACTCACCAGGGAGGGTAGATAAGGATGATGTCTTGGGGATGTCCCTTGAGGTGGTGAGCAATTTCCTTGGTGAACAGAACCTTTAGGATAGTCCTGGGGGCCTCACCTTGAGAAGAGCTGTTGGCCTGCAGCCCTGCTAAATGCTCACACATGGCAACTTGGATGGCGCATTCCTCATGCAGCTCCAGAATTTTTACAATTAACACACCAGATCTTCTACCTATAAGGTAAAGGGGAGAAAAAGCAAAATGAAGTATAATAAACATATGGTCCATCTGTGGAAAAAAAAAGCTATTAAGATAGCTTTATCACCTTGAGAAAATGGACTGTGTACTTTTGCAATGTAAAGTATGGACTCTAACACATTCACTGTAACACCTTTTTAATTAAGATAACGAGTGTCGCATTTTAAACAACATAAAAAGCAGTCTTTCATCATAAAGAAATAGTCTTACATATACAAACTCAGACCCATCATTTCACAGAGCATGTTTTTATACCAAAACTTTAACTCCTCTGATAACCACAAGAAAGGGAGTATAACAACTTATTGATCCTTCTTTCTTATATGCTCCCTCCACCTCATTACCTGCTTTGATTCTCTACTTTAGAAATGATACAGGAGACTTGCTGGTTGCAACTGTTCTAATGATCATAAACGTTAAGGGTAAGGATTCTTGAAGAATGCTGAATATTAGGGCTCGATATTTAAATAGGTGCAATTTAATCTGAATTGGCTCTCTGATTAATTAAGTTGGTCAAATTAGATAGCATTTCAACACCTCAATTTTCTCATGTATAAAATGGGGATCATGTCACCTGCCTCAAAGAACATTTTTAAGAATGAAATGAGAACTGAGGTTGACAGTGTGTGTAACCTAAAACCTTGATGTGTCCCAGAAACTGTGCCAAGCACCAGGAGACCTAAATAAGGATGCATTGTTACTGTTGTAAGAGCAGAAAACTGTTAATAAGAGCAGAAAACTGGACCCAGCACAAATCTGTAGAAGGGTAAACCATGCTGTGTGCACACAACAGAACACTATGCAGTTAGCAACGGTGGGCGTGGGCCGGGTCTATATGTATCAGCATGGAGAGAACTCGGAAACAAGAGGGGATAAACAAGATAGGAGAGTAGGATACCCATAACATTATTTTTTAACACAGAAAACAATAAAATATTGTTGCAGATATATATATGTAGCACAAGTATGTAAATATGACTAGCAGGATACACAGAAACACATCCCAAAGGAGAGAGAGAGGAACATGACTCAGGATTTCACACTTAATGTGTCACATTGTTTCTATTATAAAAATATGTGAATCAAAAAAAGACAAAAAATTAAAATGTTATTAATTCCAGGAGATGAGTACACTTAGGTTTTTCTATTACTTTGTTTCTTAATTTAAAAAAATGAAATAACAAAAACTAAGTGTCTCCTGTGGTACCCTGCTAAAAACATAATGGACACTGATACAAGTTTCTCTACCACTTTAGCCAACTAGTTAATAGTGAATAACAAAAATTAATATTTAGATAGCACCAAAGTTTTAGTTATATAACTTAATTGCATTTCCACTTCTTTCTCCCCTTCACTTTCTCATTTTCCACTCACCCCTAATTTTCCATTCCTTCCTTTCTCTAAGTGCCAACAGCATGTGTTCACATATTAAGCAAGGCCACACCACTAAGCACCATGTTGAACTGCTGTTTCCTAAGGTATGTACCTATCTTGCTACTATTTCTTAAGGTAGGGAAGGAAACAGAATGGGGGAAGGATATGAATAAGCACGTCAGGCTGGTGGTACTAGTCACTGTGGGGTGGGTGGGGTGGGTGGAGGAATGAAAACAAGTACCACAGAAAGGCACTACTAACTAGGAGGTAGGCACAGAGTCTCTTCTGCACAACAGCTGTTACTTTAATAAAGTGGTTCATCCTCAGGTGGTGAACAGGAGAAGTCAGGATAACATAAAGATCAGTCTGGTTCATGCACCATTTTTCCCATGCAGGGCAGCCCGAGCAATGGTTGGAAAACTAGGTTCTTCAGCAGCAAAGAGAAACGCCCTAGGTTTAGGGGCTGTGCTAGCCAGAGCAGCATTCATGCACGTATTTGCAGAATTCTTAAAACATGCACCTGCAGTCAGGGCTCATCCCCAAAACTATGCAGGAGGCAAGGCAGCCGTCCCATCACCAGTGAGAGCAGCTGCTGTTCAGAACAAAGAAGGCCCAGGAAGCCAGGTGGTCCGTGGGAGCTCGGGTCGGCCCCGGCAGCCTGCGGCCACGCTCACTCACCTGCCTAAGAAGCACAAGCTCCCTCCTTGGGTGCTAGCTATTACCTTGTACAGCTCTAAAAGTAAAATGGGTTTTTAGTGGTCTGCCCAACTGACAGGCCCCAAAGACCTTCAACAGATTTTATAAAGGCAAACACTGTAGAAACACAGCTATCATGGCAGAAATACCGATATACCTAAGAAGAATCATACTGTTCCTAACTACACTCTGAAGATTTTTATGATATCTCCCGGCAATATTCCTCAACTATGATATCTACTGAGGATATATAGCGTGAATAGCTTGTAAGACAAACACGCTTCATGGCATTACTGCCACCGCGGTGCAGGCCCTGCGGCACGGAGCAGACGTGCTGGTGCCACCCCGCAGCCCAGTATACCGCGGCACGGGACACGCACACTGTATGGCATTACCATCACCGCAGTCACGAAGCCCTGAAGTGTAGAACACACGCCTTATGGCCCTACTGTTAGAACCCTGGTGTGCCGCAGTGTGAACACCCCATCTGGTAACCGTCCCACGTGTGGCAGAGCAGAATGAACAGACCGTGTGGTACCAGCGCCTGAGTGCTGGTGCACCACAGCATGCCTGGGAACGCACATCGGCTCCGACAGGGCCACAACGGCACAATCTTCTCCAAGAAGTGACCTCAACCCTCTCATACAGGATGTTTTCCAACACAGCCTTGGGAGAAACCAGTGGCCTGCCTTCCCTAAAGAAATTAAAGCTGCAGAATTTCCACTTTGTGTGAGGGATAAAAAAGTAAAAAACAACCTAAAACAAACCGTATTTGAGGCAAGCTTTCAATCAGGGTATAAGAAATACTGGTTTTACAAATTAAAATTAAGTGGGTGGGACATAAAAGGCACTTGTGTGACAGCAAGGCAGCATTTTCCATACATGCTGTAAGACGCAGCCGAAACCTTACGTCGGCCAGGAAGGGTTTACTGAATCCCAGCCAGAAGCAACTACTCCTTCCCTTTTGAAATCCTCAAATACCTTATCTGTACTTATGTTCTTTTCAACAATGTCCTCATTTTTAAATAGATACAGCATTAGCCCTTCTCAAGAACGCTGAAAACATCAATAGAGAAAACACAGAAAGCCAGCAGTACTGGGCCTGCTCATCACATATGCAGAGTAAGGGCAGCCGCTGTCACCATGGTCACTGCCATTCCTACTCACTTCCCAAGGCATTTTCAAATCCATTATCATACTTCACCTACAATAACCCTATGAAATAGGTAAGGAAGATATTAATCTCCCTTTTTAGGCAGATAAGCAAGCTAAAAAAGTTACTTGCTCACATGATTTTCTTAAGATCACAGAGAATTACTGGCCGGTCTAATCCTAGAAATTGAATGTCCTTACAAGTCACTGACTAAACTGTCTCTTGGGTAAATGCTGGTTAGGAAAATGTGAGTGATGCTTTTTTCCTATTTTACTATGTTAAAACGTAAGACTTGCTTAAAACGTAAAGAAAGCACATCCAGTTGAGAAGCAGAGGCTGCTGCTATGGCTGGACGTGGTCAAAATGTCAACACTGATCAATGTACTGTAAAAGAGGAGGATAACTTTGTCACAGAACTAAACACTGAACAGTAAGTGCCACAAAGATTGAATGGAGAGCATAAATATTAATATGTAACACCAAAGACTTCTAATGATTAAGAAATAGGAATAAAAGGATTCATACAGAAAGTATACAATGTGAGATAGTAATTTCTATCCATATATATGATAGCAGACAAAACAGTTCTTAGTTCAAAGGGAAAATTTTTAACCTAAAGGCTAACATTTGCCAAATGAATGAATGATTTATCAGCTAACCTTTCTTTTCTTTTTTTTTAAATTTATGATAGGCACACAGTGAGAGAGAGAGAGGCAGAGACATAGACAGAGGGAGAAGCAGGCTCCATGCACCGGGAGCCCAACGTGGGATTTGATCCTGGGTCGCCAGGATCGCGCCCTGGGCCAAAGGCAGGCGCTAAACCGCTGCGCCACCCAGGGATCCCGTATCAGCTAAAAAAAATTCTTTAAAAATTCTGGTCTTAAATGACTGAGAGGCCATAAAAGAATCAAATAAATGATAAAAAAAAAATGTATCTGAGACTACTGGGTTAAATGACTTATTTGAAATATACAGGTATTTACTTGGAATGTACAAGGAGCCAAGGTCCATTTACATGCAGTTCAATTCAAATTCTCCTAAGGAGGTTATGTTGGTAAATTAATATATATTATGATGATAACTTTCAAGAACATTTATACAAGAAATACATATAAGAAATTGATAAAAACTATGTAAGAAAGTACCAAGTGAAATGAGTTAGCATGTGGGGAGAGATAATGAAATGATCTTCCTACAGAGGACAGAAACACCTGTAAGTTTTTCTAAGAGAAACACTTTTCATAAAGCACTACAAGTTACTCCATTTAATTACCCAAACATTAGCTACATAGTAATTTGGAATTTCACTTTAGGTTATTACTCTGTCTCTCTTTACCTTCAGATGTATCCCATTAGGCTAATCTATACAGTGTCTTGCTTTAAAGAATATGGCCTACTATTCTGTGAAACTGGTATTTTTTCTTTCCTTTGGGCCTAAACCACCAATAAGTGCCCACCATTCCTTTTTCCCTCAGTCCTCACCCATCATGTACTTACACACAAAGACACAGGAAGACAGACAGACACACACACACACACATACACACACACAGAGGTTGGGGGTACAGCACAGCAAGCCTCAGGGATGGACATCAGGGGATTTTAAAGTCCCCCTGCTTCCAGTACAGGTAGGAGCTGTCCCTTAACAGATACTCCAACACGGTTAACATTAGCTGTGATTGTTACAACTCTCCTGGTTGTACTCACTCTGGATTACGGTAGTATAATCAAGTCACATTTTACTCTTTTTAA